AGAGACACAAAGGGTCTGCTCTGCAAGCTGCTGCCCAGCGTCCCGGTGTCAAAGGGGCCATCCGTGCCCCAGGCCCCTCGGAAGGGGGCCTCCAGGGCGCGTAGATCCCCTGAAATGGGGGCCCATCCCCCATCAGCTCCCGAGGAAAACCCCGTCCCCCAAGCCTCCTGGACCCTCCCAAACCCACCTCCTTCTTCCTCCTCCAAATGAGGGCACTGAGCATGTCCGGTGGTGGGATTCAGGATGGTTTCTATTTTCTTTTTTACACTTTCTGTATTTTTTATATTCTTTCCAGTATGATGCATCATGTTTATAATCAGAAAAGACCCCTGATGAAAGTGTGTGAACAGATGTGTATGTACACCAGGTGATCTTGTCTCTGAAAAACATTTACAGCAGAAATACACAAAAGTAGCAGCTCTGATCACCTCTGCGTGGTGGAACTAGGTGATGCTTCACTATTTTTGTGAATTCATTGTGATGAGCACGTAGCTTTTTCTTAAGAGGAAAAATAAAATTTATTTTAAGATGTCATTACTGAGCTCTTGTGAGGCAGAGGCACCTCTGGGCCCAGCTCAGGCCTGGTGCCTGCCCGAGCACAAGCGCCTCCTTCAATCCTGCAGCCTCACGTGGTCACGGTGCCAGCCCTGCCTTGGAGAAGCTCAGGCCAGGGGTGAAGTGTGGGAGGAGGCAGGAGTCATGGACGTGTTTGAGCTCAAGATGCTGCCAGATGGAAAGGTGTCAATGCTGGGGCTGGCTGGTCAGCTCAGCTGGTTAGAGTGCAGCCTTATAACACCAGGGTCACGGGTTCGGATCCCCGTACCAGACAGCTGCCAAAAAAAATAAAAAGTGTTGACGCTGGTGTGCCACACTATCCTCACTGTCACCACCCACACGCCACTGTGGAGTGGACACTCCATGTCACAGACTTGCTAACAAAGTTGATGCTGCTCTGTAAACTGAGGCATAAACACGACCCCTGTAGGGCAAGAAAAGATATTAGGCCACTAGGCTCCCTCATGAATCTGTCCCTGTGTGACAGAGGGGTCTAGTTTCTTTCCATGTCATAGAGGTGTGAGTTACCTCCGGCTGCACAACAAATCACTTCCAAGCTCCTCGACTGCTCTCGGCACACGCTTGCTGTCTCGCAGGCCCCGTGAGGCAGGAATCCCACAGGCAGGGCCCTCGGCTACAGGAAATCACATTGTTCCCGGTGTTCACACGATGTATTCCTATTTCTTTTCCCAAATCTTCAAGACTGTTAGAGTTGCCATGTTTGCAGATAAAACAGCTCAGACTTGGAAAAGCCAAGTGAGCAGTAATTAAGCCTTGCCTGGAGGCTCTCGTGTTTGAATCAGACGCCCAGAAGCTGGACGCCATAGCCCCAAGCCCCAAGCCCCAAAGCCAGAGTTTGGATGAAATCAGTGGCAGGTGAAATTACCTGTACAATAAGCTTACAATTCTATAAAGTGGGTACGGGGAAAATATTAGCAGCAATCCTAGAACAATCATTGTAGAGTACTGGCATTAAGTATGATCTTGGAAGGTTTTCTCAGAAGTTTCTTTAATATATATTTTCTTTTTAAACACATTTTTATTCAGCGTCATGATCAGACTATTACATTTAGTAATCAACACCATGGGTACAAAAGAAAAATCTACATTAAAACCCTATGTTGGGGGCCAGCCCTGTGGCTGACTCGAGAGAGTGCGGCGCTGGTAGCACCAAGGCCGCGGGTTCAGATCCTATATAGGGATGGCTGGTGCACTCACTGGCTGAGCGTGGTACAGACAACACCGTGCTGAGGGTTGCGATCCCCTTACCGGTCAAAAAAAAAAAAACCCTATCTTGGAATGCTTTACACTTCCCACAGAACAGAAACTAAAGTAACCTGTTATACAGTTAGTCACAAATACAATCCTTGGGGGTTTTGCCCATACACACTAGTATTGTGTAAAGCATGTCTTCTTTGCAGCAGCTGGTCCCTGCCACCCTGTGCCCAGCTGAGTTCACACATCTAGTGTGACCTGTAGCTTCCCTGTCACTCTGGCTCTCCTATCCTGCTAAGCTTTGCTTCCTGGAAGTTAATTAAGAACTCCTGCCACTGCCATAGCTACTGCTGCTGCAGGAACTGCCATAGCCACCTTGGTTTCGTGGTTTGGCAAAGTATTGGACTCCACCATGACAGAGGCCAGAGCTTCTGCCTCCAGAGTTTCCTCCTTTCCTGGGCCCAACATTTGAAACTGATTGTTGTAATTGCCAAAGTCACTATAGTTTCCACCACTTCCAAAATTGCTCCCATCACTACCAAATCCATTATAGCCACTCCCACCACCACCAACTCCACCACCACCACGGCAGCCACCAAAGCCACCATGAACACGGAAGTTTCCTCCACCACCAAAGTTGTCATTCCCACCAAAACCACCTCCACAGCCACCACTAAGGTTTCTAGAACCACCTCGACCTCTCGGCTGGATGAAGCACCAGCCGTCTCCTGCTGGACTGGACTCTCCTTTCTCCACAGCTGAGGCCATTCACAGTGTGGTATTTCTGAATAACAGTCTTATCCATGGAGTCATGGTCGTCAAAGGTCACAGAAGCAAAGCCTCTCTCCTTGCCACTGCCTCAGTCCGTCATGATTTCAATCACTTCAATTTTCCCACACTGTTCAAAGTCATCTCTCAAGTGACGTTCTTCAGTGTCCTCTCTAATGCCACCAACAAGGATCTTTCTCACAGTTAAGTGGGCACCCGGTCTCTGAGAATCCTCTCTTGAGACGGCCCTCTTTGGTTCCACAACTCTTCCATCCACCTTGTGGGCCTTGCATTCACGGCTGCATTCACGGCCACATCCCCCGTGTCGACAGTGGCACAGGTGACAAACCCGAAGCCCCCGGAGCGCTTGGCGTTTGGATCTCTCCGTAGCACACAGTCCGCGATAACCTGTTATACAGTTAGTCACAAATACAATCCTTGGGGTTTTTTGCCCATACACACTAGTATTGTGTAAAGCATGTCTTCTTTGCAGCAGCTGGTCCCTGCCACCCTGTGCCCAGCTGAGTTCACACATCTAGTGTGACCTGTAGCTTCCCTGTCACTCTGGCTCTCCTATCCTGCTAAGCTTTGCTTCCTGGAAGTTAATTAAGAACTCCTGCCACTGCCATAGCTACTGCTGCTGCAGGAACTGCCATAGCCACCTTGGTTTCGTGGTTTGGCAAAGTATTGGCCTCCACCATGACAGAGGCCAGAGCTTCTGCCTCCAAAGTTTCCTCCTTTCCTGGGCCCAACATTTGAAACTGATTGTTGTAATTGCCAAAGTCACTGTAGTTTCCACCACTTCCAAAATTGCTCCCATCACTACCAAATCCATTATAGCCACTCCCACCACCACCAACTCCACCACCACCATGGCAGCCACCAAAGCCACCATGAACACGGAAGTTTCCTCCACCACCAAAGTTGTCATTCCCACCAAAACCACCTCCACAGCCACCACTAAGGTTTCTAGAACCACCTCGACCTCTCGGCTGGATGAAGCACCAGCCGTCTCCTGCTGGACTGGACTCTCCTTTCTCCACAGCTGAGGCCATTCACAGTGTGGTATTTCTGAATAACAGTCTTATCCATGGAGTCATGGTCGTCAAAGGTCACAAAAGCAAAGCCTCTCTCCTTGCCACTGCCTCAGTCCGTCATGATTTCAATCACTTCAATTTTCCCACACTGTTCAAAGTCATCTCTCAAGTGACGTTCTTCAGTGTCCTCTCTAATGCCACCAACAAGGATCTTTCTCACAGTTAAGTGGGCACCCGGTCTCTGAGAATCCTCTCTTGAGACGGCCCTCTTTGGTTCCACAACTCTTCCACCCACCTTGTGGGCCTTGCATTCACGGCTGCATTCACGGCCACATCCCCCGTGTCGACAGTGGCACAGATGACAAACCCGAAGCCCCCGGAGCGCTTGGCGTTTGGATCTCTCCGTAGCACACAGTCCGCGAACGTCCCCCATTGCTCAGAATGGCTCCTGAGACACTCGTCAGTTGTTTCCAGGCTCAGCCCTCCCATGAAGGGCCCCCACGGCTGTGCGGGCTCTTGAGGAGACTCTGACGTAGACATGACGGCGGTGGAAGGGACTTTAACACTGCTTCCTCGGCAGCGTCCACAGACAGAAAGAGCTATATATATATATATTTTTTTTTGTATGTCTTGTTTTTGTATGTTTTTAAGTTGTAAAACATTTAGGCTGATGTTAGGCAAGTAGCAACAGCTCTGGCTTTGGGAAAGCTTTTCGGGAACTTTCTCTGAGGCGATGGGCCTGGCTGTATCTGGAGCCACCTGGCAGAGGGATATCAGGGACTGTTTCTCTCTCTCCACACACACACACACACACACACACACATGCAACACGCATAACAACAATATACATATATGTAGTTGTTGATGACTTTGTTTTCCCATAGTAAAAATCAAAATATCTTTTGCAAATACGGATTTGACTAAACTGTGAAGAAATGTTCACAAGAACAATAACCTGGAAATCCAACAAAGCAGTAGATTTGAAACTTTTTGGCAGACAGCAAGGTCATTTGCAGAAAGGAGAGCAGGGATGGGATGAACACAGCTGGTCAGTTCCACGTGAAGATGTTTGGATTGGAAACCAGCGAAAAATGTTTTAAGGAAATTCACTTTGGATTACACGTTTTCAGACATTTTATTTAAACTCAGCTGCAACTTTGCTCTTAACATGAGAACTACAGTCCCCTGTAAGCAAACAAAGGCCCACACGCTGGCCTAAAAACAGGATTCTTCTTCAGTGAAGTTGCACCCTCGGCTCAGAGCTGCTCCGGAGAAGGGTGACTTTCCTTTCAGATGCTCTGGAGAGAAAAGACCCCAAACAGGCCACGCCGTGACTCACGCTCTGCTCAGCGGCCTGGCCCTAGCGCCAGCTCCTCCTCCTCGCCCGCCCCCGTCCCTCCCTCACTCCCTGGGCTGTACCTCAGGCCGGCAGAGCAGAACCTCTCTCTCTCTCCCGCTCTCTCTCTCTCTGTTGTCGGCGGCCCACCCTGACCCCGGCCCTCGTTTGCTGGTAGCACGCAGACGAGGCCGGCGACATGAGGCTGGCCCGCGCTCTGCTGGTCCCGCTGCTGCAGGTCTGCTGGGTGGCCGCACAGGATGACGTGGTGGACTCGAAGGCTATTGCCTTCCAAGGTGAGTGGACTGGCCGGCCTGGCTCCACTCGCTGCCTTTCGCTGCTGGGAGAGATGGCCGGGACTAGACGGGGCAGCCGTGGCGCCCCAGGAGTGGGGCGTTGGTGTGAGAGCTGCAGATGGGGGGGCCCTGCCAGGGAGGGGTGGTGCTTAAAACTCCCCAGCTCAGTTCCCTGCTCCAGGGTGGCCAAGCGTCTGGCTCTCCCCCAGCAAGGCCTCAGGGCTCATGTTACCCTGAGTTTCCCCATTCAGAGGGGACGTTGGGCTGGGCCATTTGGGAGGGTCCCACCAGCGAGGAGGAGCCGGTGACCATCAGGCGGGTCTCAGCTTTCAGTTCTCCGTGAACGCTGTCAGGCCGGGCCAAACGCTGTTCTTTCTCTCAGTTAATCCCACTGGGCCCCTTGCCTGGCCCCGATGAAGAAGCGGGGTCACTTGTGCCCTCACTCCCTTCCACGAAGGTCGGGCACCTGGCAGTTTCAAACCCGACTTGAAAACTCAACGAGAAAACAGTCTTATCTGTCCCGTCTGGTAGCGGGAACCCTGCCCCCGGGAGGGTTGGTGCGAGGGGTCGCCCCCACTCCCAGCGAGGCGAGATGCTCAGGAACGCATCTGGGGTGTCTCATTTCCGCCCCATTCCTTTGCGGATGTCGGCGCGTCTGCTGCTGTTGATTTTCTTGACCAGTGCCTCGGGGGGCACTTGGGGTGGCTGGGCTGGTGGGGGAGGGTAGGGGCCGCCAGGAGAGGCTCATGTGGGTGAAAGTGGCCTCGGTGCCCACAAAGGCTCAAGTGTGAGCTCTCAGGCCTCCTTCCTCCCATCTCTGGCCCAGACTGCCCCGTGGACCTGTTCTTTGTGCTGGACACCTCTGAGAGCGTGGCCCTGAGGCTGAAGCCCTACGGGGCCCTGGTGGACAAGGTCAAGGCCTTCACCAAGCGCTTCATCGACAACCTGAGAGACAGGTGGGATGGACGCAGCCTGGTCTTCTCTCCTCCTGGGTGTCCATGAGCCCCTTAGAGGTGGAGCGATGGGCCCAGGGCACCGGCAGGTGGAGCTTCCCTGAACTTCCCCATTTGAAGAAGGGCCATTGGCCCTGGCTGCCCAGAGCCCCTCCCTGTGGCCAGAGCAGGGCTGAGTCTGGATGCAGCAGGCTTGTGGGCGGCACCTGGTCAGCCAGGAGGGCAGGGGTGACAGTGCTGAGATGTGGGGCTCCCACCCCCAAATGCAGATGAGGAGTCGTGGCTCCCCTGTGCAAACTGAGCTGGTTTAGGGAGTTGGCCCAGCCCTGCAGATTGGCCTGGTGCCTGGTGCCTGGTGCCTGGAGCAGGGCCCTTGAGAACCAAATGGACCCGGCCAGCCCACACGGATTGTCAGAGCCTCTGCCCCCTCCGCCCACCTCTGCAGCCGCTGGGCCCAGCAGGCCTGTTCTGGGTTTGGGGGTGACAGCCTTCACTCACCCCTCACTCTCTGTCTCCTTCCTCCATCTGTGGGATCCACAGCCGGAGGCAAGCCCTGGGTGGCTGGCTTGGGGGAGGGGCATAGGGACCAAGGCCCCACCCCCCAACTTGTGGAAGGGTCCGGCCCACAGGTTGCTGGTGGGGGCACATCAGCTCCACCAGTGAAGGCCCCCACCCCTAGTCCCACCCCAACCCTACTGACCGGGTGACCAGGGCCCCAAGCCTCCTGCCCATCAGAAATGGCCACAGAGAGAGAGGGCACCTGCCACACCAGAGCAGAGGTGGGAAGGGAGCTGCGGTAGCTGAGTGGCCCGGCTTCCCCTCAAGTGTCTTCAGCCCCTGTACTCAGGCTCCCTGTGCCTCAGTTTCCCCACCTGTGAAATGGGGTAGGGCCCTCCTGCTGTTACTGCCATTAGCATTATTGCAGGGACTAGGTCCTCTGCTGAACAGGCAGGCGGGGCAGGGCTGCCCCAGACCCCTGCAGAGCAAACCCCTGGGAGCCCCCAGGCCCAGGTACACCACCACAGAAGAGGCCACTCAGAGCCACACTGGGACCCCCACTGTCCCGTTTAGAGCTGGCCTTCCTCCTGCCCCCACCATCACCCCCCCCCCACTATGGACCAAGGAGTCTGTCCCCCACCACTCCCAGGATCAAGGTGCACACAGCTCCTGCCTGAGGCCCCGGGGTCAGGGGCACCTGGTCACTCATGGGCTGAGCCTGGCCTTCCTGACCCCTCCCCCTACGCTCCTCCAGGTACTACCGGTGCGACCGCAACCTGGTGTGGAATGCAGGCGCGCTGCACTACAGCGACGAGGTGGAAATCATCCGCGGGCTCACTCGCATGCCGAGCGGCCAGGACGCACTCAAGGCCAGCGTGGACGCGGTCAAGTACTTTGGCAAGGGCACCTACACCGACTGCGCCATCAAGAAGGGGCTGGAGGAGCTGCTCGTGGGGTGAGTGGCCCCTCCGCCCTCCCATCCACACCTGCTCTGGGCTGGGGCTGGCCTTGGTCCCTACGCAACTCCTGCCACAGGCCTCCCTGTGTGTTCTGGGGGCTGCGTGGCCTCCCTGACCAACTTCATGGGGGAGTAAACTCCGGCCAGGCCCTGGGCTGCTCTTTGGTGAACCAAGTCTGAGATCCCCAAAGACCTGTCCTAGTGGAGGCTGGGTCCATGCTCATGACCACTGCCCAGCCTGCCCCAAGGCTCCCAGAGGGTCACTCACCACCTCCCCACCACCCTCATGGGCTGAGCCACTGTCTCCTCGAGCAATAATGGCACAGGGGGCAAGAGGAATCCAAATGCCCCCAGTCACTGCCCCCACTTTAGCCAAACAGAACGGATGTCTGCAGTTATAGAGACAGAGACAGAGAGATAGGGAGAGAGACGGAGACAGAGAAGTTGGCTTTCCCTGCACAACATTAATAGCAAGCTGGTGCTGGTATCATTCAAACCAAAATCCTATGAAAATCCTATGTAAACAGATGGCTTTATTTCATTTTACTTTTTAAGTGGTTTGTCTGGACTGAGGGGTTTCTCCTCACAAGAGCTAGGTGTCGAGGACAGCATGGCCCCCCATGCCTGTGCCACTCTGAGTGGCATGACAGCAGCGGGGTGCACTAAGGGCCAGGCGAGGTGGCATGAGGCTGCTCTTTCCACCCCCAGTGCCCCCCACGCCCCAGGGCGGCCTTGGCCCAGGCTGCCCAATAAGGCCGGTGCTGGGGGGGGAGGGCAGGAGACGTCCCGTCTCCAGAACCGTCTTTCCCAGCTGCTGTTGGTCTTCCAGAAGCTCCTTCATGTCCAGCCAGGCCCCACCGTCCCATCTGCAGAGGGGCCATGGGCAGCCGTGTTATGAGACCCAGGCTGCTGGGTGTGGGGACACGTGGCCTATGAACTCCAGAGCATGGCCCCCACCTGGAGCTGTAGACAGATACAATCCTTCTTGCATACATGCACATCACTCACCCTGAAGTGTTTCCAGGCGACACGTGGGAAATGCCAGCGTGTCCATCCTTCCCTCCCTTCTGACCCTTCTCCTGGAGAGGCCTTTGGCATCACGGGGTGGTCTGCGTTTGGGGCACTCTGTGGCCACCCTGTGACTTGCTTATCACATCCATTTCCCACATGAATCAGCGGTGCCCGAGCAGCCATCAGTTTCAGCACCTCGGGGAGGAACTGTGGGCAGCTCAGCCCGGCCGCAGCTCAGCCCGGCCGCAGCTCCCTGGTTCATTCCGCTTGGTGCACTTCTCAGGGGCTTTGGGGTCAGGTCACCTCAGGAGCTGATCGTGCCTCTCCCCAGCAGTGGGTGCATTCTCTAAAGTAGTTTTTGATCCCACAAGACTTTACTTTCTATTTTGATATTCTTTTTTATAATCCCCATTTTGCAGCCACATCAACAAAGAGAGACGCTTGTCCCAGAGGAGCCCCTGGGCCTCCCTCGGGGTTTCGAGCCCTGCCCATCACCTTCCATCTCTGGGAGTCTCAGCGCTGCGGCCCCAAGGGAGGGATTCTGAGCTGCGGAGCTCCCCGGGGTGGGCAGGAGTTGGGCCTCACGTGGTCTCCCCTTCCAGGGGCTCCCACCTGAAGGAGAACAAGTACCTGGTCGTGGTGACCGACGGGCACCCCCTGGAGGGCTACAAGGAGCCCTGCGGAGGCCTGGAGGACGCAGTGAACGAGGCCAAGCACCTGGGCGTCAAAGTCTTCTCAGTGGCCATCACGCCAGACCACCTGGTAGGAGCCACCGCCCCACCCCCACAGACGCCCCCAGATGTTCAGGGACCCAGAGCTGCCACCTGCAGCCCCACGGACGGGACAGCGTCTTTCACGGCCTCCGCGCCCCTTGCCCTGGTGCACACAGAGGGTGGGTTCCAAGGCCTCCCACCCGCCAGGACCCTGGTTTAGGCCAGGATGGGGGGACTTCAGCAGCCACCCTGGCCCTTCGTGTGGCTGACCCTTCCTGCTGAGCAGCCTGGCATCCCCGCACCTGGCTCACCCTCGCCCCGCCCCGCCCACAGGAGCCACGTCTGAGCATCATCGCCACGGACCACACGTACCGACGCAACTTCACGGCAGCTGACTGGGGACAGAGCCGCGACGCCGAGGAGGCCATCAGCCAGACCATAGACACCATTGTGGACATGATCGTGAGCGCCCGTGGCCTGCGGGGGGGGGTGGGGTGCTGAGCAAGGAGCGTTGTGACTTCTC